AACACTAACAGAAAAACTGTAAAAAGATATTTGAATATAAAATTTAAAATGAATACAAAACTATAGAACAAGCACATCCGATAATCATTTGATGGTACCTTCGTGAGATGAGTTTTGGAATGCATCCATTTTAGGGCAAACAAATGCCATCGGTGGCGAGTACTTCTTTTGTCTTCTTTGACTTAGCTTACCCAATGCTCCTTACGGATGGCATATAACAAAATCATGAAATGTCTCCGCTTGTCATGTCTATGAATCTTTCCTACTACGCATTTTTCAGGTCACAAGGTAGCGCAAGAGCTGTAGACGACAACAAAGACCGATCTCGGCGGTTGACTGGAAAAAGAAGAGTAGTAGATAGCGACTTCCTCTCTAACAAACCATTGGCTTCAGCTTCTCGAAATTAAGATTACCGCTTGTTTGCTTTACGTTTATCTGTCTCCACACGACTGGACCTATACCATTCGAGTGATTTATAAAAAGCATGAAATAACGTGGTATACCGTTGGTCGTAGTTACAGAGACTGGAAGCAGACATATTCACTTCAGCCGGACCTTAGGCAGTTCAAGGAGGCCTGTTTGGTTGAATGAATGAATGAATGAAAACGCTGAATTTTATTGAGTTTGACCTTAGTTGTCTCAGTTCTAATGCAAGGCCACCAGACCAGGGAGCCGTACAAGAGAGATGGACGTACTATCGTCGTGTAGAGCCAGTATACCACTTTGGGTTTAATCCCCCACCTTACACCGACAACAGGCCCACATTGAATTGCGAGCCTTGCTAACCTTGTATTCAACATGCTCTCTCCAGTTCAGTTTGCAATCCTGGATAATTCCCAGATATTTCACTGATTGGGATAGAATTAATCTAGTCCCAAAGAAGGTCGGCATGAAAGGCCATTAAGTTAATTCCGAGCCATGAATGTTGTGTTGTGTGTTGTCTATATCACGCACCAGATCGGTGCAAGATCAACATAGGTGCATTGTATCAGTTACCAGTACAGGCTTGTGGAGTAGAGATAGTGTTGTTACCACGGGGTCTGCAAAGGCAAAGCAAGGTTCGCCTTCCCACCTCTACTACTACTAGGCAGTTCAAAATTCGAACGAACCACTTCAATAGAAAAAATTATCAAATCAACCTAGTAGAAAATAGCTGATTTAAGCTCGGGCGTATCTAAAAATAATAAAAGCGTAAAACGGATGGTGAAACATAAGCTTTATTTAAATCTTCCAAAACAATCCGTTAGAGTCAGCTCGGTCGAGCAAAACTCATTATCCTTGCAATCCCCGACGCGTCGCAGGAGCAAAATCCGTCTGCTACTACGGATGTCCTTTTCAATTCAGACATTTCCACTATACATACGTAAATGGATTCACTCTACAATGAGTCATAAGCGGTGTTATTCCATCAACTAGAGAAATTCATTTTGGTGAAGCGTGTATTTAATTTAACGTGCAGATTACAGAAGAGCTTGGACTGGAGCTATTTTTTTAAACTGATGAAGCTGAGTAAGTACCGTAGCACCGCGGATATTAAAGACACCTTGTTAGGTTAGTATGAGCCAGTATAACTGGAAAAAAAAACCTCAGGCAGAATGTTCCACAATCTCGACTCCCTAGGAACAAAGGTCAGTTGTGGAGGTACGAAGTGCTACTGACTTAGGATGGGAGGCAGAGGCCTGGGACGTCAGTCTGCAAACACAACGGTATCTTGGAGATCTATGAGGAAAACGTTGGCAAGGCGGTAGAAGACAGTCAGAGCGTCCACCGCCCTTCGGTGAGAAAATGCACCAAAACAATCCCTTAGAGAAATGACAACCAGCAGTTGGACATACATTGAGTATGGGCAGTGGCAGCACAGCTGGACGTTGACACGACGTGACTTTCCAGGTCTGTATCACCGCTTATCGCCAAAACCTCCCCTCTTGGCAGTCGCTGGGGTCTGAGTTGATTTCATGGCGAGATTGTGGGTTTGTTACTTTGAAGTTGTCATGTTACTTGGCACGAGAATTATGTTTCTTAAAAAGTGACATTATGTCGATTTTTTTGACACCATATTAGTTCTTTGTGACATTATGTAGGTTTTTCTACTAGATGTTAACTTAGCATTAGCCGATGGACACGTTGTGAACTTGTTTTGTAGTTGTACGTGTTGCCTAAACGTCACGAGGCTTGAGTTATCAATGTCTAGCTCTGATATGATGTAAAATCTGCTTCAGAGATGGCATTACTGGAGGTCTAAGATGTGTTGTATACTATGGTTGGTACGAAACGGCAGTGCATAGCTGCAAACTGAGCATTTGTCTGCTAATAATATGTGTTGATAATTCCATTGGATTCATGTCTCAAATACGCTTAATTGAGATTCAAAGTAGAAATTAGTGCGCATCCACTTTTTCTTATCCATTCTGGAAATTACATATGCAAATTTGCTGAATTTAAAAAATGAGAGAGATAAGAAATAATTATATTCACTGTACTGTCTCATACAGCAAATATCACTGACTTTAAATACATGCAGACCAATACACATAATCATCCAGATGCGATCTTGCTATTTAACCAACTTTCTTTGTTTCACATCTTCTCAGAGATGAAAACTACTCGGCTTCACAAAACATATGCAACCAACAATGCGTGTAGTTGAGCCATTCCTCCATAGATGGACGCTCAAAACGATCCTAGTGAGCAAACGTAGAATAAGTGTTTGCACCTTAAAAACTACCTAGTCTGCAAGATAACATTTTATAGGTTTTTTGACGTTTTATAGGTTTTTGACAAAATACCCGTGCGGTTATCTCTAGACCAGAGGTAAGATCGGAGTTTTTGCATATTGACCCGGCAATGTGACATCCGGGTTTCTTGACTGCTTTTCGTAACAATCATTAAATTCAGTTCCTACGCTCTGCGGACGAGTATACAACAATTCATATGACAAATCAGTACAACTGCGAATAATTACCGTAACCCTAAGTCGTGCAAGTCATGAGTCTGAAGAATATGGAAAGTAGCCAAGACATTTTTCAAAAACAGGTCTTGGCTCCGACAATACAGACCTATCGCCAGAGGAGGATTTAATTCATTGGGGTTTCGTCACCAAGTAAGTAGCTTTTACATTATCTTGATATTGTTGAATGTTTACGTACTGCACTTGCAATAAAATAAAATCGTACAGGAAGGAACTAATCAATCTAAATGTTACTTTTTCCCAGCATATGTTCGTGCCGAATTGAATCCTCGACGATCTAGACTTCGACCAGCGATAAATAATGGTTCTTGGCAGATTTCGACCATCCATCAAAGCCCGATCCACGTTCAGGCGATTCTTGATAGTCGACGTACAGTACTGTGTTTTGAAATCACTGAACTGTGCCAGGAAATTTGGTCCTTAAGCAGTGATATCTAGAAAATCTGTAACATTAGGCTGAGCGACAACCCATGCACCTATAAAGTAGTCTGCCACACATTAGTACTCTGCTAGGGTTAATTGTTTTATCTATACCATGCTTATAATACCAGTATCATACCAGGTTATTTATGGCCAATGTTTCTCAAAGTAGACAATAACGCCCCCTTATGGGCGCTGAGGACCTAGGGGTAGGGGGCGCTAAAGAGCTTAAAGGAAATTGGGGGCACTGAAGTGAATTGTGGGTGACGCCAGGAGGGTGAAACGTCTTATGGGCGAACTGGCAACACCAAGGTCATTCTTTCCTGGCAGAAAACACATAAATCTCCAGGCAAAATCTAGGCCACTTTCTTACTAACAGAGTTTGGTTTTTGACAAACGACAGTTTGACTTTCCCTGGGAACTTCCATTTTGTTTTCAATCTGTGTTTTGAATTGGGTAAGCTACACATTAAATTTTTAATTATTGATCTAATTCCCAATCGAGAATTATCGTTCATAATCTTCATATAATAATAGTAATAATAACCTTTGTCATATATTTTTCAATGCAAAACACTTGTGATTGTGTGCAGGAATACTTAAGATTGCATATTTCAATAAGCTTGTTTTTCTTTTGTAAATGAGTCATGTCTGGACTTGGGATTGCCTCTTCGTACATCGCTACTTTAAAATACTCATGCAAATATCCTTCTTGCAAAAATTCCTATTTCCACATTGTTCGGAAATCTTCTTGTATATACAAAAATAAAGTATTCCATCGTTTATCAAAAGATGAAAAAACTGTTGCTGCAGGGAATAGATATCTCCCACTCGTAAAGTTTCCAATTATTATGTTTGTCATCATTTTTCAGTGTTTGATCGTAGTAATCCGCAAGATCCTTCACGTCACAGATATCTTGCCATACCAGTGTCCCCCAATACAGTTTTAAATTCAAATAATAGTCATCCTACTAAACCAGGTCCCAGTTCAGTATCTAGAGTTTTATCAATGACCCTCCTTCTGGAGAGGCTACCACAAATCCAACCCCTTCTGAGCAAAATGAAAATTCCAGTGTAATTCTGGAAGATCAAAACATTGAAATAAGTGGAAGTGGTTCTAGAACAGAATCTAAGTGTTTAGATAAATATTGTTTTTTGTTAGAGAAGGGCTCTGGCATATTAACAAAATCTGGTACATCAATGAAGGAATTGAACCCTAAGGAATCAATTGTGCATAAAGTCCACCGGAATGTTTGCTCAAGGCTATCCAAATTAAAATCAATTTTTATTGTCGCTGGGGTTGACAAATCAAACTATTTTAAATTTGTTGAAGGCTGGCAAATAACAGTTAGATCTGTTATGTCACTATAGAGGGATCTTAACGAGAAGGGCTTGAAATATCTTTATTTGGTCAAGTAAGACAGCATGGTATCTTCAATACAAATCCCACCTGTCATCAGTTGTTGCTGCCTTAAAAACAGTATTTGTTAATAATTCCAGCACACCTTTTTCTAAAGGTAATTGTGAAATCGATTTTTGTGATACTACTGGTCGATTTCAGTGACTTTGTGGATAAGTATGACCAAAGTAATGATACAGCGCTTGATTTAGACCCTGAGATTCTAAGTGACTCTAACATGGAAATAATGGGCAGTTCTTTTGAATGGAGTCCTTCAAATGGTTATGTTTCAGGGTACATTTTGGACAGACTCAAAATTGATAGTAATTGTGAATCCTGTGCGAGGTTATTTTCTTTGGTGGTCGCTGAAAAACATGTATTTGTGACGCATGATGAGGAAAAGCGATTGAAGTAAGCAAGTAAAGATTTAATTAACCTGATTGGTCTTCTGGATGAAAAGCTGTATGCATTTTTAGAGCAGCATGGTACAGACTAACTGGAAGTTAAATTTAAATGTATTCCTGGATCCTTCAAAATTATAGCTTTGGTCAGCAGTATGATGTGGCAAAAGGTATAATAGAAAAAACTGCCCGATTGGAAATTTACAAATATATAAAGAGAAATTCTTTGAAAGGGAGTGGTGAGACTACTAAAAGGCATAGATCAACAAATAAGAAATTCAAAACAGCTTAAGTCAGGAAATGCTTTTTTATGTAGTCCAGCACTCTTCATTCATTGAATTTTCTATTTACTATCATTAACCAAATACTACTGTGATATTATACCTAAAATTTTTTTTTGTCTCATGGTTGCAACATCCTTGGGAGGGAGCAGTTGGACGAAGAATAATCCTGTAATGTTAAAGCCATCAGGAGCATTTGGTTTTAAGTATGAGAAATGTCTTGTTTATTTTTTACTTTGATTCCTTCTTTGAAGAAAAACAAAAATAATGTTTTCTCAGATTATATTTTTATTTCAACTATTTATCTAACTACAGAGATTTATTTTTTGTTGTTTTAGTATGAATGTTTATGTTTCAGTGATAAATACACCTCATGGTGGATTAACAATAGGTAGTGCTTGCATCATCTTGCTAAACACTTCCTTTGATTACTGAGGGTCCCTTTTTATCGTTTTTTATGCTACTAATGTATGATTTGTATTTTTTTTTGAAACATTAATAATATAGAGAAAGGTCCAGATATCTAAAAATACCTTTATATGTTGTCAATGTACTGTGATGATAAATTATTACTTATTATTAATCATATATTTAACTATTGAATCAGGTATTTCCTTTATTGAGGATATTTTATGCATCTATGCCCATAAAATATTTCTTCAATATGGGAAGTATCACTTTCAGCAGATTTTAAATTGTAAACAAACTAATTCCTCGGCACTCGCCTAGCATTTCTAATCTCCCGGCGCATTCTTTGAATTCCTTCGACAGTTCCTCCAGATCTCCAAGCAAGTAGGCGGCGCAACCATCTGACAAAACGTCAACGGTGTTGCCATTGTTTAACGTGCAGCTCCCACTTCTTCAGTCTTATGTGTTTTGTGGGCGACGCACTGAATAATTTTCGTCATCTGCTCTTCAATTGCTCTCAGAAGCATTGTTACATTCGAACCCCCCTCTTCAATTTTAGATTGTCTATACCAACCCCTGCTCTTAAAAATCGTCATAAGGACATTCGTTTTCAGAAGCAAGTAGCAGACGACGCTACCACCACGGTCTTCAATTTTCAATCGCAGATCTCCCCGAGACGGACATTTTGAACAATTGCGGGTGGCGGTGGGAAATAATTGATCAGCAAAGTGGACAGTAGAAGAAATAAGTTTGAGAACCTCAGCTTTAGAGAGACACAAGGAGCTCAGCTTTTGAGTTTTTAAATTTACGCAGACACACTGGCAAGGGTGACGTGGGGTTGCTTCTTCACTCTCTGAGCGACCGATGTGACATTCTCTGTACCATCTACTCAGCAAACGCGTTTTCAGTTTACAACTCGACCAACCATAAGTCAATTACACGATGCACCTTGCTAAATGTAGTTACCATGTAGTGCAAACTCACCCTCTGCTAACTACTTCGTACTAGTAGCTTCGACTTAATTCAGAGTACACTTATTAATAAGTTTTTCATTTCCTTGGAGCTGAATGTCTTATTCGATTAAATAGATTCAAACCATATTTACAGAGTCTAAATAGAAGCTATTCAAAAGACGGCGGGCGAGTGAAGCAATTCGCCGTAGGTTCGATTATCCTCCCATCTCTTTGTCGTTGCGGAAGTGCGAGGGGTAGTAGCGGCGGGTCTGCTACAGGAACGGTTCAACGGAACCTCTAGTATACAGGGTGGTTCGGGACAAATCGCCTAAAAGCAAGCTCGGTCTGAATTCGACAAAATGATGAAAATACGGCGAAGCCTGAGTAAAGCGTCGTTCTCGAAATCTTTATTTCCTTATAAGTCAAACTCTTGTAATATTGACATGAAAATTGAGCATCGGGGTGCCTGTGCGTAAAACATATAGCTGGAAGATCCAACTAATGGCAAAGTAAAACGAGGACAACATTTGTGTTTCATGAGAACCACGATATGTTATGATTTTTATCGGCAAAAAAAGTATTTCACATATATTCTCATTAAAAAAACGCTTTAGAGCTATTTGCATTTCAACAGTCTACCGCACAGACAAATGCCTTCATCAAATATATGAATATCTCGAAAAATTACTAATTTATTGAGATAAATGTAGACTTTCTTTTTTACTTAACATTTAGTCATGAACGCGCAGTATCGCAGACCGATGTAATATTCATGTTTAACCATTTCCTCGCTTCCCCTTTAAATGTTAAATTGGCTAAAATAAGTTTGATTAAGTGTCTTCGGGCCTGATAGCTCAAGATAATAATATATCAAAACAAAAATACTGAAGCATCCCAAGAATTCTGTTATCCATTTGACCTAGAAATATAGTAGTCAGTGAGACGATGATTATTATATTTCTCACTAGAAATAAGGGAAACTTACTTGCCAGACTGTCATGAAATTGCGCGATTATAACTAACGCCCTCTACACGTTATGTTGAAAAGTGGAATAGAATCGCAATCCTCATCGTCTGAATCACGGGATACCTAATTTTCATGTCTATATAACATAAGCAGCTAGATCTATAAACAACAATTTCAAGAATCAAACTACGGCACCCGCTCATTAAGAAGTGACATTTTACCAAAGCTTATTTCGCTAAATATCTTTATCTTTACGAATTAAATCTGGGATTCAGTTCTGGTAAGGACCACCTTATATTTGAATCAATTCCTCCGGAAGGGTGGTTAAGACAAAAGGACATGAAGCAGTTTTAAAAAACCCAGTGGGGTACACAATACCTTTTCTTCTTTTGTAAGAGGTCAAAATTCTAATCTTCATGCCATATATATTACCAAATTTCGATACCAACTGAGATATGATTTCTTCAACATCTTGGGGGGGGAGGGGGCATTTTAAGACCTGTATTCATTGGAACCTTCTATGTCACTTTCTGGTATATTTGGTGTATTGATAATGTTTTGAACCGCCCTGTATATTCAATGACACGCCGTAGTGGCTGTGAAAATAAATCACTTAGTTGCACTAGCAGATCGACGTTTCGAGTACGCCCGCGCAGGCGGCGCCGTCTGCCGATACGACAAATGACAATTGCTTCACGACATAAATTAACTGGGTCACTCTTTGCTATACAGCGACACCGACTCTCTTATATAAACGCACAGGGGTTGCGCGTGGGCGATACGCGTGTTTACAGAACTCGCCGAAAGCTTGTTTTAAATTATTATTGAGTGCGCCGTAGTGATTTCGTTTAAATACAAGGTTAGGGAATCTGAGTACCTGCTGAATTTTGAAATATGTGAACTACTTTGCCTTATCTTTCCTTTTAACTTACTAAGTAGATAACGAAAGATCAAGCGGATTCCCATAACACCATAGATTAGAAAAGACCAATATTATAATAATAAAAATAATTTATAATTAATAATATATAGGCAACTAACTGCCTTCTGCGCGTACTCTATATTTATTTGTTTTGTTCGAGACCAGTTATTTTTTACAAATAAACATTATCATTATTATTATTATTATTATTTCCATGACAGAACCGAAACAAATGTGCGGAATTACAACCTTCACCCGATGAGTATCAAATTAGATAAAAGAGATGGGACGTGGTAGAAAGAGGCACTCACTCCAAGAGAACGATAAAATATTCCGTCTTTAATGGAAGTTCAAAGAGAGTTTGCATGAAAAAAATACGAAGGACATCTGGATTTATCACTATTCAGGGCACATCTACAGAAAATAGGGTTGATTGTATCAAGCCCCGGGTGTAGGAAATTGTGGAGTAACAAGAAACTGTAAAACATGTTTTCTTTGATTCTCCTGTTCTGAGCGATAGAATGACCTCCTCTTGATATATCAAAAGGAAATACAGCATGATATCCCGATGAGTATCAAATTAGATAAAAGAGATGGACGTGGTAGAAAGAGGCACTCACTCCAAGAGAACGCTAAAACATTCAGACTTTGATGGAGGTTCAAAGAGGTTTGCATGGAAAAAATACGAAAAGCATCTGGATTATCACTATTCAGGGCACATCTACAAAAAATGGGGTTGATTGTATCAAGCCTCGGGTGTAGGAAATTGAGGAGAAACAAGAAACTGTAAAACATGTTTTTTTGGATCGTCCTGCTCTGAGCGATAGAATGACCACCTCTTAATATATCAAAAGCATGACAGCATGATATAGTCCAAGTTCGTTGTTTGCTCATGCTATACCAGAATAAGTTCTTCTTCTTCTTCTTTGTACTTTATTAATAAGCTCATGCCTGTTTTACATCGGTTTTTAGGCTCAGTTGATGTTGTCTGATCATCTTTTCCTCGGTCGTCTCATTGATCTTCTTCCATTTGGCGATTCTTCTCTTGCTATTCGTACTGTTCTATTTTCTGTCATTCTTTCTATGTGTTGATTCCATTCTATTTTTCTTCTTTTAGTCCACAGGTTTATTTCCTCTATACCACATCTTGCTCGTATTTTCTCACTTTTTGCTCTGTCTCTTAGAGTTTGGTTTGTTATTTTTCGTAAGACTTTCATTTCTGCTGTTTCCAATAATCTTTGTGTTTTCGCCGTATCTGCTCTTGTTTCCGCTGTGTACGTTATTATCGGTCTTATTGTTGATTTACATATCCTAGTTTTCGTTTCCGTTGTGAGGTATTTGTTTCTCCAGATTGTATTGTTGAGACATCCTGCTGCTCTGTTCGGCATGTTTACTTGTTTTTGTACTTTTTCTTCCACTTTTCCATAGCTTGACAGTTTGATTCCCAAGTATTCTGTTTCCATCACTTGTTCTATTATTTTGATATTTACGGACCAGTTTACATCGTCTCGGTTCCACTGATATCACTATCGATTTAGTTTTCTCTGTTGAAATCACCATGTTGTATATGAGCGCCGTATCTTCGA